CAGGCCCATACAGTCATGGCCAAAAACACTGGCACCCCTGCATTTCTGTTAGATAATACACCACTTCTCCCCCAGAAAACTGATACAATCACAATCTTTTGTTTACATTAGAACAACGCAAAAAGCAGAAAAAGCTAACTCTGATACATTCCACACAGATCTAGAAACATGGACTGCACCGAGTTATTGGCACCCTCAACTTAATTTCAACTTAATATTTGGTAGCACACCCACTTGACAAAATGGCTGAAATCAATCACTTCCTGTAACCATCAGTGAGTTTCTTCCACCTGTCTACTGGAATTCTGGACCACTCTTCCTTTGCCAACTGCTCCAGGTCTCAGATTTGATGGCTTCCTTCTCCCAGCTGCTGTTCTGAGATCTCTCCACAGCTGCTCTATGGAATTTAGGTGTGGACTCATTGCTGGCCAATTCAGAACTCTCCAGCTCATTGTCTGAAACCACTTCATGTGCTTTTTGAAGTCTGCTTTGGGTCACTGTCCTGCTGTAAGACCCATGACCTCTGACGGACACCAAACTCTGACACTGGGACCTACACTGTGCCCCAGAATTTATTGGTAGTCTTCAGGTTTCATAATGCCATACACACAGTCAAGACATCTAGAGGCTGAAGCAGCAAAGCAACCCCAAACCCTCAGTGAACCTCCACTGTGTTTGACTGTAGGGACCATGTTCTTTTCTTTGAAGGCCTCATTTAGTTTTCTGATAACAGTAGAATGATGTGCTCGACCAAAAAGCTCTATTTCAGTCTCATCTGACCACAGCATATTCTCCCAGAAGGACTGTGGCTTCCTCAGCAGTTGACACTGTTGCACCCTGTGCCTGTAGGTCAGCTTGGATTTGTTTGGAAGTTGATTGAGGTTCTTTATCCATCATTCCAACAATCCTTCCTTGTGTTAGGTATTTTTAGTCAGATAGATATTGGATAGATACTTTATGTATTAGAAATGTTTAGTGGAGATAGGATGTCTAACGTTTTATTCTTTGCTTTCTTGTTTTGTTCCTTCGCAAATAAATACATAAATAAACATGAGAATACCAAAGAATTTGTTATTTCAACAATTTTCTGGGAGAAATAGTGCGTTATCTGACAGAAATGCAGGGGTGCCAATACTTTTGGCCCTGACTATATACTTACTTCGAACAGTTTGGAAAGGTCCTGAGGCTGTGGTTGCCCAGGAGTAAAAAGGTAACCCAGAGGATGAACCCAGAGCTCCACTTTTGGGAGTATCTGATTTTGCAAAAGGCAATTAAAAGAAAATGAAAAACTTACAAGATGACATGTTTTTGACAGCTTATCATTGTTTGATCACAGACACTCCTTAAAGTGGTTTTGGGAAAGTTGCAGATGTCTATGGCATCAGGAGTAAAATAATTTCTCAGACAGATTCAGTTTGCATGTATCAACCCTGTGATAAGATCTTGTACTGAAATATTTTTAGAAAGTCAAAGCCAGAGCAGAGGTGATTTGTTTTTAAGGCTCTTGGTATACACAGACTGAGAAGTTTTGGTAGGAGAAAGAGCCAATTTGCAGTAACCTTAGGTAAGTGTAATAAACTTGTCTGTGCTCTTTGCTTTGTTTTACAGTCTTTGGTGTTCAAACTGGTCAGAAAACATAAAAGAACGGCTGAAAGATCGCATCCATTGACACTAGCTTGCCCTCGGTTCATGGTGTTATACTGCTGGCTGTAAGATGTCTACATCTGCCTCACTTGTATGCATAACATGCATATTTTCAGCTTGTTTCCTGAGATTACATTCTCACTTCTAAATAACTACACAGCTGTTCACTTGAAAGATTACAGGGACCTGCAGTTCAAATGGCAACATTCTCACTGAACTGAATTAAACAGCATGACTGCCTGAGTAAACAGTCCAGAGTTCAAATAAACCACTCCAGCTTTGTCTAGTAGTAGAAACCTGCAAATCTCCTCACAGTTGGTGACATTATTTTGTGCTTTTATGCTGCTGTTATTAATGTAGCTGCTACCCCCTCTGCTCCTGCTCCACCTCCTCCTCCACACTCTGTGCCTTGTATTTTAGCTAATTTTCACATTGCAAAGGTTTTCAGTCCATGGTTTGAATTGGCCCAATCTAAAAAAACAACAACTTGTAATACTAGAATGGAGTATTACTGTGTCTTCAGTGTTTCCATTTGAACAAGTCGATTTGGAGCTACCTGCTGTTATTGGTCCACAGAGGTTGGATGGGTGGGAGCCTCAGTCAAACCCAGCTTGAAAAACAAGCAAAAACAGATGTTTTGTAACATTAACAAGTTAATTATTGCCATGTACATACAGTACAATACTGTTGTAAGTCCACTGTTGGTAAGAAAGATAAAACAGAACTGTATCAGTCTTAATGATGGATACTGAACTCTGATCGCTATCTGTCTCTGTGGTTTCCACTTCATATCACTGACTGAAAAAGAAACAGATAACAGTTACACTTAACAGCATACACAGTGGCTGTTTTAGTAAAAAAAAAGCACAAATGCTACCATTATTGATGCCTCTTTTTATTCAGTAAGCCATGAGAGTGTGACAGTGAGCCAGCATGAACAACACTAGGACCTGAAACCGGAGTGGACATTGAATTCAGACATTATTAATTTTATAATTTACATTTGATTTTCCTTCTGTGGAAAGTAAATCAGCTGGGGGAATATCAAGATTTATATAGGAGTCAGACTTACCTCTCTACCAAGGTCAGGAAGTCCAGTTTTATTCAAAAGTATTTTTTAGGATGTTGACCATGTAATATGTTCATGGAATGAAGGCTGTTTTACTGGAACTGTGTTCAGAGTGCACAGTTCAAATCCACTGTGGCCAAATCTCTCTCTGCATATAGTCTATCTAGAACTCAGGGCAGGGTATCAAAGAAGTATATATTAGATTATTCTGAACTTCATGATTTAAAGCGACTAGTGACTATAATCAGTACTGATGCTGCAAATAATGTCCTCTTTAAGCTGTGAGCTGAAAGCAAAGGGTGTGGAGGTCTGTGTGGTTTTTATGCAGGAAACTGGAGTTTGTGTCCTGTCAGAAGGAACAAG